CATTGTAATGTAAATTAATATTATTCCGTCGAGGAAATTGGTGACGTCTGATTTTAATCGTCGTTTTTAATTGATGAATAATATCTTATTTACTCGTTTGTGCCAAATATTACTATTTTTCTCATTCTTAAACACTGTAAATAAAATTAGAGGTTGACGGAAAAGTTGTAGGTATCGTTTTCGGCAACCCACTAGTAAGTGAGATCCCACAAACACGTTATGGCGTGGTACGCCGCCTCACAGCCGTACCCTACAGCCCTGTACTTCTGGTCAGCTGCAACAGAAAAAAACGTATATTAAAATAAAACCAGACCTATAGAGAACAATGTGACTATTACATTCCAGACATTCATTTTCTTGAGGAACGGAGAGGAAATGATAAAAATCGTTTCTTTTTTTTCAGCCAGGTGTAAGCCACTCGGCTAGAGCAATGAACTTAATATAGTATGCATGTAATGGGCACCAAGCTATTGCCATTATAAGCTCTACTCCCTTGGTAAGGCAATTAGACTTATTTTCTTTGAAAAACCAGTAAATATGTAACGTACGGGAAGAATTATAATTAACAAGTTTTCTTGGGTTTAAGAAACTACAGCACACAATTTTTTATATATTTCAATGATGAATAAAAGTGCTGGCAACATTTGAGAAATAGACATTTTCGCTTTCGAGTAATAGACATTTTTTTGCATTGGAAGAATAACTAGGGATAAAATTTTAATAGTATTCCTATCAAAATATCATTTTACACTCCTTTGTCTATTCCAAACACAACTAAAAAAAGAAGAGATTAACAAAATGCGTGCAGCATGAAACTACATTGATCAGAAGGTAAACTAAAGGGTCAGCATTTGTTTAATGAATGAAGGTAATTTGGACAAAAACCATTGTCGAGATGGTGATCCTAAAAATGAAAGAAATTACAGAAAACGAAAAAAAAGTCATGAAATGCCGTACTTGTTCCGTATGAGAGAGAGACAGAGAGAGAGAGAGAGAGAGAGAGAGAGAGAGAGGGGAGAGAGGGACAGAGAGATATATTTGTTTTAACCTGTTAAGGATTACACCGCTGTCGAATTTTCAGAAAAATATTTAAATAACGATTGAGGAAGACTACGTATTTGATATGGTAGTACTTTGGATGTGGTCCTAAGTTCAATATGAAACAACCACATGATATTGCATTAATGCATTGCGAGGAATTTGAATCTAGTCATTAGTGTCATGTACTTTCACTCTTCTCTACGACTCTGCCCCACCGAGGACGACAAACGCAATATTATAGAAGGTCAAGACGTCAATATTATAGGAGTCAACAACTAGTAAGAATCTAAATCCTAAAACCATCACAAAAGGTAAATAAATATTCGCTATTTCAAGATTGGAAGTACCAGGATCCTAGTAAAGTAATGGATAATGTGTCTGGGATTACTCGCCTGTCGTGGTGAATAAACCCTCCGTTTCTGAGTGAACAGAGTTTATGCGACTTAGGAACCCAGTATCAAGAAAACGTGCGGCAATAGTACCAAATATTAACGTTATTACAAACGTTCTAATGGTAAAGAATAGCTCAATATTTGAATCGTCCAACTGCGAACTACATTTAATATTAATATAAATAATAATAGTAATAATAAAATTAATAACAAAAATAATATTAAAACCCCGTGCATTGATTCAGATGTTTATGTGGTCTCTCTTGTCGTAAGAAGCGATACATCCCGAATAACTATTCATTAACTAACTCTACCTGAGCCATGTGTACCAATTTTTCACATCCCTTCCCTAATTCCTAACTCTAACATATCGTTACGATTTCTTTCCAGAAGTAATTAAAGAATTTCAAAAACCCCGCCGCCATTTGCAATCCAGATAGTTCGTCTTTCTGAACATGAACTATTTCTTCAATAATAAAACGTTTGAACAGATAACTGGTTTTTCAGATGTCACCCAATGCGGCAAATATTACTCGAACTGTCAGGCAAAGATTGTCTATAGACAATTGATGCCATTAGCGGGAGTCAATGACACGGGTAAGCACGTCGAAATCACCCCTCCATGTAGTTGATCACATCGCCACAAGAGACCAGTATGTAGTAAAAGTCGCCGTGACCGCTTCTACGCTTTATACACGGAATACTATGAGGCGAAATCTACATCTATTTAAGAACATTTGTTATTATTTTATTCATCTTTTATTTATATTTGAATATTGTTGTCTCAAATACTGTAGTAAATTTGTAGGGCAAAAGGTAAGGTAAAAGGCAAGGGCAAAAGGTACGGTTTTGGAAGAATTATCGAAAACGTATTACTAAAAATCTCTATAAATATACTACAAACATGAATAGTAATACGAAATATTTAAAAATGGATTTCTGTATATGCGAATAAGAAAGTATTGAAATATTTTAGGAATATTATTAAAATAAAAGATTATAAAAGTTATCATAGGTTCAGATTAAACCACCTGACCATCATTTCATGTGGTATTTTTAGATTACTGTCAAGTATTTCGGGACTATTTAAATAATTACATAAACCAATCATGACACTATTGATTTTTAAATTCATAGCCTCAAAACTAAATAGCTAAATATCCAACGTGCTTTCTCAGATGCTTTGAATTTTTCAAATATTCATCTTCATCAAAATACTTTAGTGATCAGGAATTGGAGAGGATGCCGTTACTACCCACCCTGTTCGTGGCAGTCATTGATGACACGGTCTGCAAATTCCAGGCGATTGGTGTCGCCGGCAAACACTTCATTGTACACCTCCAGACGGTGTTCGGCGGGGACAGCGGTCCAGCTACCATTCTTCATCACCCCGATTCTCTCCAGCACACACGCAGATAGGCACTGGGCATAGAGAAGAATTTCATTCAACTTCGAAAAGGTGCAAGGTAAAATGAGTAAATATTTGGTACTTTCTGTGTCATAGCATCAACTATCAAACTATCATGGTCACCACTCCTCTGAGATAGTTCATGTTTTAAGGTGGAAGATGAGCGTCTCTCTCTCCTCTCTTTCTCTCTCTCTCTCTCTCTCTCTCTCTCTCTCTCTCTCTCTCTCTCTCTCTCCAACGTGAGTTCCGATACCAACCTACACGTCGGCTTTTGGAGGTCTCCCTCTCAATGTAGATTGACTTATTAGTGGCCCTGTCAACGGCTGTGTGGCGTAACTTTAGTGCATGTTTTCATCGCTAAAGAAAACGATGATTTGGCGCTGGATAACGAGATTCGTCACCAACCTACAAATCCGTTGGCGGTGTTTTCCTCAACAAGATATCTCCCACCAGCGGGGCTCCGCTTCATCCGGGACAAGCTCTAACCGGTCTCCCGAGTGTTAATAATTCCGGTATGTGTGCATGTAAGTGTGTGTAAGTAAAGGGTGAGGATAGAATAATGAACGATCGCGCATATTCCCTGGCCCATTTGTTAGAGTACTTCTGTATTATTCACTTAGTGTTGAAAGGAGAAACCAAGAAAACTACCGATTAGGGCATATGGTCACTAGTATTCTCCTCAAGAATGTCGCTGAATTCGACCAAGCTATCCAGCTAGAATCGAAAACTCTGCAACCGCGAGGTCTCCAAACATAAGACCTCTCGGTCAGAGACATTAATGTAGAGTACTGCCATATCTAGAACAAATTCTAAATTATGTATTGGACTTCCATGTAGAAGGGAGGTGCAAGGGAGGTGGAAGGGAGGTTTATGTTGGGGTGTATGTTAAAGGGGAGAGGAAAGAACAATTATTATGAGGAAGGGAACATACCTCGCGGTCCGTAGCCCGTTAACATTGCTCCAGCATTTGCTTTCAATTGACTAGAGAAACTACGGAAAACTACGATTCAGACGAGCTCTTTGCCAGAATGCTCCTTCAAACAACGAATGTACTGTGGCAAGCTATGTAATTTTAGTGTCGAAAATCCTCCTCCGTCTGGACTCGAACCCACAGACTTCCCGCAGCGAAGCACCGATGATTTCAATAAGCCATCGCAGCACGGAAGACCGGGAGGTTCATCCGCGCCGTAGCTTAACATACGAGCGTTGGGAGTAAAGAGAGAGCCTTTCCATGAGAGAGTAATATCAGAAAGTTCGATTTGTTTTCTGAGGTTTCACTTACACATTCTATTCCCATCGAGCAGTAGAGTCTGTAACGCGATATATATATATATATATATATATATATATATATAGAGAGAGAGAGAGAGAGAGAGAGAGAGAGATGAATAGATAGATAGAATAAGATAGATAGATAGATAATTTATTTAATTTACTTTGGGCATTAAAGCCGGTGGGGCATTAAGCCCGGCCCGGGCATTAATGTCGTAAGTGTGACCGCATGGTGATTTATCAAAAAATAAACTAGTGGTGCATCATTTCTCTTAATTTTGTAACTCTTACGTTATGTTATAATTATCTAATATTGTAAATTGGCCTCCATTTCTCTCTTGGAAAAATTAACGAAACGACACCAGAGATATTCTAAATAATTAATATTTTTGGTTTTTAAAACTTCCAAAGTTTTCAAATTTTAATTGCAATAAAATTTAAAGTTTTGTGCTATACAGTTACAAAATCTGCTAAACAAACGTCTTGTTCGGAATCAGATACGAACTCGAGACGTTGAACACTTCAAGCAAACCACTGAGGTGATGTCATTGTATGGCAGGACGAGCTTTTTCTATCCTCAGTCTTCTATTAGCTTGGCCCATTATGAAGAATGCAGCATATTCGCATAAGTTACGTGAGGTTCTTAAATGGGTGTTTCTTAAACCACGAAAAATAAATAAGCAATACGAAAACGCAAATTGATATATTTAATTCCGAAAGCACATAAAAATCTTCAAGAAAGAGAAATGTTTGTTCTTCCTTATTGCTCATCATATAGGTCGCATTTTTAATTAATTAACCGCGTATTTTAAAACCAGTGATCATTGACGGCTAATAGTATTACGGTAAGTATCAATATTATTTTGAAACGTCATTTCTTTCTTACCTTGGCCTTCTCATTGTACAAAGTCTTTTGCAGTTCACCATGCATCACTTTGCATACTGTGCAAAGTTATCATAAAAACAGTTTGTATTTCAAATGACATAGAGAATATATTTATACTATTTTCTGGAGGCAGTTTTGTGTATCACAAAGCTGTGAATATGAAAAAAACATTTTTCTGAGTACTGAGAAAATATAATCATTTCTCTCGTTGCTGTGTGTCATTACTTCGATTCAACATATGATTTATCTCATATTTCAAAAAATTGTAATCTGTATGTGTGAAAGTGTTGAGATTACAATTCTATGGACAAGAAGAAAATGAACTTTATGCACAACAGTCTAAAGAAGTAAAATATTTTAGTTTCAGGTCTAATAGTAAAGTCAGAGGAAAATGTATTTCGTGGAATGTGATTCAGACAGTATGGGTTTTGGGAACTTTTTTGCAATGACGAAAGATTAGGTAACAAATACATGTGTTATAATGAATCTACAACAAAAAACATGTTTTACAGTCAACCCTCAAACATCAAATAATTTGCTCTCTCTTCAGTATGTATTAAAATCCATATCTTAAACAAAATCACCTATAACTAACCAAGTTATTTAAATAATTTCTACTATGGCATTCATTGGGGAAAGATGATACAGAACAAATACTACAAAAATTATATCTTATCTCATTTCATTTCGCACCAACACAGACTCAGATAAATATTTTATTATTTCCACTTTCAATTTCTTTTCGAATTATAAATTGTCATTGTTTTCTCCCAGACTTTCTTGGAGTAGATGCTCAGAGAGCGCCTAGTTATTTCTGAAACATTACATTAAAAGAAGCTTTGTTCCCCTTCCAACCCTCATTGTATACTTTCAAGAACGCGTAACTATTACCTTAATAAACTCACCTATTACTGCTCACATTGGAAAGTGGAACTCTGTGTTTACAGTAATGACTTTCATTTCGTTTAAATTTGAATTCCTATGTGGCCGTCGAACATCACTGTTCCTTCCAGTGCCCGCTGACACTAGAATTCCATTCACGACATATTTGTCCGGCATTTGGCAATTTAAGTAAATTTTCTCTCACATTATTCAGCTTTTGTCGTTCTCTTAATCGTCTGTATCTAGGAACTCCGAGAGATATCACCCACAAGCAGGGCCGGGTTTAATTAGTGCGGGGCCCCAAGCACAAAATTGTGTTCACCCCTCCCCCCGAAAAAAATAGCTCCATCTTTATTAAATGAAAAATGTATTATAGTACTAGTACTTTCTGTACAGATACAAATGAAAACTGATAATTTTTTGTAGAAATTTTTACTTGTGTCACATTTTTTACATTAAATACATTTTACATAATTTTTTTCTACTTTTCACTGCATATTTTTTCGAAACGCGGGGCCCCCAAGCAACTGCTCGTTTGGCTTGTAGGTAAATCCGGCCCTGCCCACAAGCACTGTGCCTGCACAGATGCAGAGATGCTGGATGGAGCCCGTGGGAGCGCATGAAGCAGGCCTTGGACAAGGGTGCGGAGTGAATTGCAAGGGGGCGTAGACTACCAGAGAGGGTAACAGCAGCAGGAATCAGGTCAGTCTTCCCTGTTGAATCAAGGTTTTCCAGCGAAGTCCATTGGCAATTCGTTTCTTTCGATTTCCCTCTTCCGCCCTCCGACTTCCACTTTCCCCAATAGTGTGCAATAATAGGTGGGTTTATTAACGTAATAGTTCGCGTTCTTTGAAAGTAAACAGTGACGGATGGAAGGAAGCAAAGCTACTTTTAATGTAATGTTCAGAAGTAAAACTACGGGCTATCTGAGCATGTACTCAAGGAAAACTGGGAGAAAAAAGAAAAGAAAAAGAATGAAAATAGGATCATTTACCCTTCACATTGCTTTAGTTGTTTGGGATTCTTCATACTATTAGAATAACCCAAAACGAAAGGTAATTAATGCATTAAGTATGATTATTAATGTCTACGTGATGTAGTTTACAGCTTGGATGTTTGATGTAGGGTTCAAATATAAAGTTATTTTCAATTTTAGTTTTATTACTCATTGCAAAATAAAATTAAATTTTATGCCAAAGACAAATTAATCATTTATATAAAATATATTAATTGTAGAGAATGAAAGAATCCAGCAATGCCGCAAGTATTAAGATGCCGCTAAGATTAACACCGATCTATGTTCTCCAAAAAAAATTTTTTTTCTTTTTTTTAATATGGGGTCTCATTAATGGCGATTGATGAAAGGTGGTGTGTCCAACTATAGTACTCGCCATTATAAAACATATGGAGTGATGTATCAAAATTTTTTTGAATTCAAAGTTAAATTGAAATTGAATTGAAAGTTAGCCATTACATTTCCCGAATCGTCATGAAGGTTACGTGTGAAGAAAACAGAATTTTGTAGACGAGATTTGTGCATTGTTAACTAGGAAGGCTAATGTTTACTTGACACAGGCATTCTACGCCCGTAATTTTCCTAAAGGTAACTAAACAATGTAAGTAAGATTATTGTATTTCAGTTCACTTCTTAGTGCAGGAACATCTTGTGAAGTTAACACATTTTGATTTGCCGCTTCTCTTCATTTCGTCACTAAGAATTTGATAATTAGATAAAACCCTAATTTCTTGCATTCTATCTTACCGTCAGTTGCACCAAGTTGTTCCTTACATACTTGAGCTTCAGGACGAACTATTCTTTTATAGTTCTCCAAAGTTTCGGCCTGTAACAAGAAACGATTACATACATCTAGGGTATCTAACTACTTACATAGTTTTCCCGGCGAACGAAACAGAAAGTTCTCGAGAAGTACATGCGCCTTATGTACAAAATTACACGGATATATTTAGCTTTTATTTAAGACATCTTTCCAAATACCTGATGCAAAGGCCAATATCAATATTTTAGAGGCATGTTGCCTATATTTGACTTCTAGAGTGCGACCCACGATTCTTCTCTTATTAATAATTTCACTAATATTTTCGTATTTTAAAATCCAAATATTTATTTTCGCCATCTTGTAGCTTCCATTTCTTCCAATTTATAATTAAATCATTTTTTTCTTAAACAAAAACTGCCGCTCACTCAACTGATTAATGATTAGGGTACTAGATTACAGTTTATAATCCTCTTTACTCTAGGTTAACTACGACCTCGAATTTGTATTCAAAGTGAACTGCTCTACGCCCAACCTCTTCTATTGCCTACCATCTCCTTCGCAAATCATAATGCCTTCCTTTCAACTATCTCCTCCTGACTAATAGATCCTCAGTTTCGAGTCTCTTTGCTACATATACTGGCCATTATCATCAACTGTTGAGCACACACGCTTCTTTCCATTGGTTGTCACTTTGTACACTTATAGTATTGGTTATTGTTTGATATTTGAATTGTTTATATTTATTAGATATTTTTAATCACAGAAATATCTCACTTGTCCTAATAAAAACGTGTACACTTTTGAACTGTCACTTCCTACACTTATGCCTTTCCATTTATATTTCATTTCTTACATCCATATTGACTTCTTTGGTTCTTATTCACATATTTGCTTTAATCCTCTGTGATTGTTCCCTCATAAATGAGAATAACCCATTACAGTATTGAGATATACGTATACCCCTATTTTAAAGGTTTAAGTTTCAATTAATTGGAATAGCATCTCTAATGTCTTGGAATAATTTGAATGTTTCCATGACCATTCCGCTCATTGATTAATGGCCAAGTATTCGGTATTGGTCAGACATCAACGAATCAGAACTGTCATTCACAACAAAATGTATGATTTTCAGATAATCACTTTTGTTCACATATTCTTTACTTGATACTTCCGGAACTATAATTGAAATAAATTCGTACTTTTGTTTCGTGTGGCATTATTTTGTTCGCCATCTTTGCTTCTTGTATAGACAAAACGGAAAACGTCATTCTACACGAATAGGGTTGCGTCGTGGAAAATCGTCCTAGAAAATCCGGATATGTCCTGAATATCGACATGTGTCCCCCAGTCCCGTCAGATGATTCTTTGCTTTTGCTAAATATCCTGAATTTTTAGTTTCAAGTAAACAAACGTATTTATCAAGTGATGCACGTAGCATAGAGAACGTTATGCAATGCTGCGGGACATCGATTTGGTGATTTGAACGGAAATACGTTTTGGGTCACCCCGATACCCGATACAAAAGCTCCTATCTACGAAACGAAGTTGTCAACAAAATTGAAATTTTTAACCGACATGAAACCTGAACTATTTTCTTAAATGTTTTTCAGACTATCCAACAAAATTTCATCAAAAACGATGGAGCCGTTTTTGAGAAAAAATTGTCTAAACAAAAATTAAAAACTTCCTACATTTCACGCAATGTTACGCAAAAATTATTCATATATTCCAAACTTTGTACATTACTTGAAAATATTTAAGAAATAGATTTCATTCCTTATAGTTCATATCTTAACTGTAGGAAAACGCCGAATTTTTTTTTCCATTTTCCGAAAAACGGTATTTTTAACGAATGTAAAACTTACGCCGTTGCCTTCAATGTCCTCAGATTATCAAACAAGAAAATTTCATCAAAATCGACAGAGTCATCGTTTTCAAAATTTCGAAAATATCCCAGGGCCTTCATGTAAAGTACCCTCAAAATTAAATTATCAGTTTCAAAATCAAGGAGCCGCGACATTCGATCGAGCCGCGATATTCCATTAGGCAATATCAATTTTCAAGAAAATCGACTGAACGGATTAGTCACTAGCGTTGTTCACAGGCTTACGGATTGATGTTTTGTCGTCAATCGATTTTTCTGTATCAAGGACCTACAAAACAGATTCTAGCTACACTACGTGTGAGCGGATTTTTCTTCTAAATTACGAGTTTGAATATATCCACATTTTTGTTACCAGGTCCCTGAAATAAAAGTTTTCCTTCCGAAAATTCGCCGATTTGTGTCGATTCATTACATAACTATTTCCTGATGAAACTTCTTCTTAAGCAAGATTAAGTAAAAATATCAATCACAAGAATTTCTCGGCAGTCGGCGGCGGATCGCGGTATGTACAACGCTGATTTGCAAAATGTGTATGACATACGAACCAATGGCCATTGTTGCTTTGACATCGTCGCAACTGGCAAACAAGGTATTTTTTAAAAACATTTTTTCTTGTTCAACATAAAAAAAGCCTCTCAAGAGTTAGACGATATTTTACATAAATTACATTATCTTTTGGTATATTATAAATATAATTAAACATAGAACATAATTAACAATCTTAGTGGTAGAACTTCCGTCGCTCGTTTGCGTTATTATAAACTAAGAATATTATTTTCTGTTAAAATACTCATCAGGTATCGCTGGTATATTTATGTAAAACGTGTATACACTGAATTCAATGAAAAATCGCTCTTTTCATACACACGATATTTCTAGCTTCGTTTGTTTAAACTTTTTTTGGAGCTTCCTTAAATCAAGATAGCCCTTGCACTCATCAGTCTTGAACCTTTCTACTTTCTTCTACCTTTCTACATACGCCGCGGTAGCACACGACGCCAATCTCGGTACGTTTACCATCGTTCTGCTTGTAGGGAGTTACAGATAATTGCAAGAAAATCTCACACGGAGTTTTTGGTCCGATGGTAGAAATAGAGTGCAAAGGTGAAACGCAAGAAACTGGAAATTATTACCATAGTAATGCCTGGAGGAGAACTATCGATTGTTAGGCCACAGGCATGTCTCTTTGTTAATGTTATTGACGTGTCCAGTGAATACTAGGCGACGCACGCTTTGCGCCTGTGCGCGGAACGACTCGACATGTCAGAATATTCCATTTGATAATAATATTGACTGTGCAAAAGGAGCCAACACGGAAACCATGTGAACCCTGAATTTATTAACGCATGACAGAATTAAATTAACAGCACATAATTCCTTTATTTGTAACGGATTCGTAATAGTACAGTACTACGGCGTGAACCAACCAGTCTTACCAACCAGTCAACATTTTTCTCCCATTTACCAACCTGACGACCTCTGTGCTGTAATTTAAATTCAGAGTCTTCGTCTTGGCGTGTCATTAACGTTATCTCTTGACTTATTTCTATTCTTTACAGATAAAATCGACTAACATTCACGAATAAATTACTGGTGCTACGAAACGTGATACTATTCCTATTATTACAAACGACTACACAATATTAATATACTACGTTTTCCCTTAGGGTTTTTATCCACGTTTGTATATACTACATTTTGTTAAAATTACCTATATATCACGCAAAATTGATAAATTTCACGCAATAATGAGAGAAAGCATTTGATCTTGTAGCATCACTACCTTATTTTATTCGAGTATAATAGCAATCTTTTTATCGATAAAATTGTATTGATCAAAATACTCACCGAAATAGCGCTGACAAGAAATAGCAGAGCAATGAAGGAACGCATGTCTGTTGCTGTTTGTGGCTTCTTGAAGACTGTGCGCAAAATACGCGACGCTCGTCAATTTATAGCTGAGCAGAAGGTGCCACTTAGGCCATATCTTTTCTTATAAGACCATTATAGATGCTAAATTCGCCGCAGAACAATTTTAGCGAGGCTAATAACTCCTTAGAACGCCTCCAGTGTTACCCGTTCCGTTCATTTTCTTTTTTCTGGCAACCAACTTGGCTTCTGGAACAATCAATTTGGGTAAGAATATGTTATAGAAAACCGGTTTCTATAAAATGCGTTTGCACTTAGAAACTCGCTTTTAGAACGGAATGAATGCCATTACCACGCAATTTTATTTTTCTTTAGATACTCAGCTTTTTTTAGCAAGCTGCACAGCCCGGTATCTTTTTTCGTGTACATTTTCTTGGTTGAGTTATAGCCCAACATTATGAGGACATACATCGTGTATGACCTGGTTTATTAACATAAGAAAGGAAGAGAGTGTGAAAAACAAAAACAAAGAAAATATAAGAAACACAAGACACCAAATTGATTCCTGTCAGACTCCCTAGTTTCAGCTTCACTTACTATCATTGTCATGTCAGTTTCATTTATGACTAGGTGCTATTTCATTCTCTTCTGTTTGTACTGAATTTTGTTATGTATATTATCTGGCGTAATAATTATATTCATTAATTATATATGTATGATTAATATAATATATAAAAGACCATGTTGTTCGTTTGTTTGTTGGTCATTTCTCGTACATAATGCGTTGCCGTACCGTTGATCCGATTGCGATTAAACTTTGTCAACTTATTACTTGGAAAAATATAGGCATATGCATAGTACGATGGGTACGTGCATATGCTAGTGTACAGAGACGCGCGTTGAATATGATTTAATGCTGACTCAAACGCCCTGAACAGAGCGCTCTACGTAACGGCACTTGACGCAACCTGTTGCACACTAAAGTACAATTATTCGGGCGTTTCATTGCGTATTCTACCCCTTCGATTGTGAAATTTCTCTCTCTCTCTCTCTCTCTCTCTCTCTCTCGAGAGAGAGAGAGAGAGAGAGAGAGAGAGATATTTACAGGGAGAGACAAAGGAAGACAGTGACTCAGAGAGAGAGAGAGAGAGAAAGAAACAGAGACAGAGAGACACAGAGAGTCAGAGACAGAGAGAGACTGAAAGACCCGGAGAGGCGGAAACATGCACATGGGAAATTCTTTAGTCTATTGAAATCTTTCCAGAGCGTAACGTAAAACGTGATAAACAATCATGAGACCAGGAGCACGTGAAGTGTCATACATAGCAACAGCGAATTTGTTGGGGTCCCAAAATTTCATATATATATATATTCTAATATATATATATATATATATATATTAGAAATAAGTATGCATTGCACTTGATATTGATCCACGCACTATAGAACTCAAATATAGGAAATATGCCTCTAAAATATTGGAATTGGCCATTACGTAAAAGTTACGTTGCATACGTAAAAGTAATATGCGTAGTATAGAGAAAGTTATGTAATGTTGCGGAAAATCGATTTTGAGATTTCAATGGAAATACATATATTGGGGACCCGTGATACTAAAAAAAGTGGTTCAAAACGTCGTACGGACGTTTTTTACGCAGAGTGCTAAATACTGTCCTAATGGCTATCCTGTTATTTTTAGACGATGTATTATTGTCTGTACAATAACTGTCAAGAATCTATTCGTCCCTTGTAGTAAAAATTCAACAAGTTATTACACATTTAGAATTTCGCGGAACAATCTCGCCTGAAATACTTTGATGCCTGAATCAAATACCCGCAGTTTAATGGCGTAACATCCACAGAGTTTCGCATCTGAGCGAGGAAATTTTGGAGTATCCCCCCCCCTTTTACCCACCCACTCCGGCGGCGGCGGAGCGCAGTGGCGACCAGCAAAGTGGAAAATTACACGGTCCTTCTTTGCCCCGCGCAACTGTCGGGAGATTACCTCGTTTAAGCTGAATGCCCCCCAGTCTGCGAGCCGGCCAGCGTCGGGCCAGGGAGAGGCCGCGAAACGTAGAGAACAAATGCACTGACGTGATGGGGTTGGGCAACCTGCGGGCAATTAAGGAAAGCATTTTCAGAAGCATAAGATGAGTTTGTTCCAAATGCATTGTTGCGACCTCTGGAGATGAATGGCTCAAGGTATACGTGCAATGGCGTTTATTATTTGTACGAATTTGATAGGAATATTGTAATGAAATTATTTAATGTCAGATATTTTAATCCTTCGGTAGGGAAATATGCGATTATCTGAGAAAGTCAGTATGTATAAATTATGCTGCTTTTTCGCCCCTTCAATCATTTGATTTCTGTATTTTTTTTACTCTAAGCTTTAAAGTATTCACTTTTATATTACTTTAAGATCCAGTACATTCAGGCATTATTTTCATCGATTAATATTCACCAGAAAACAGAAATGTTGAATATTTCTCGTACATAAATACCAAATAAATATGCAATACAACGATTGAATGGGTTTAACACCGCGTGGTTTGTCAATACATTCACTCGTGTCGGCAAATTATTTTCATTGACGATGGTTCCGAAGAAGCATGTAAGGACGTTTAGGTGAAATACTTAATTGTACAGTAACAGCACATATTGTTGCGTTTTATTTGCAAATGTTATGTAAAATTGTCGGATCCTATTTTTGTCATCGGTTTTCTTTGCACTTTCCGTATATTTATTTCTCTGAAAATATAACATCTCTGCTACTTGGGAAGGTTGCGAATTTATTCGAGGGAATCTGGATTTCTTGCAAATGATTGATATAGATTATACTAGACAGATAATTTTTAGGTGAACAATTACACGCTAAATAAACGGAATCATTTTATCTATAGAACGAATAGTATTCTGCATATATATTTATACAACGTGTTCTCCAACATACAGTACGTGCTTTCTCGTACATATCGAAAAATATTGTTAATTACACTTGAAAGATGTTGTAACCTTTTATTGTTTATTTTCATTTCTATTACATCTTTCAATTTCGCATCAAAACACAATATTTAAACTCAATTTTCTCCCAGACATGTTTTCGAAAAACGAAGTCAGGTTTCCTTCATGAAACTGGAGTATTTTTTGTAACGGGGTGTTCCAGACAACTGTATATGGGGAAATTGTGAATGTTGGCTATTGATTTTGCCAACACAAAACGAAAGACAATTACCGTAAATCGAGTATAAATTCATGTTTTATACGGCAGAGCTGTTTTTCAGAAGTTGTCACGTTTGCTTGTCTTTTTAGATGGGTAGCACATTACGAACGGTGCAAAGTTGGCAGCGGTTCCAGAAAGGCTGGCAACGTTTCGCATATCCAAAGACCAGTACCACGCCTTTAACGGCACATTAATTACACTGGTTTAAAAACGTTTTTCCTGCAACAAGAAGGAAACACACCGCTCCTGGAAGATAATTCGTCTGTCAACTCAGATCTAATTTCAGAATTTTTGTATCGGACTCTGCTTGTGATGATTTCTTTCGTAGCAGCGTCTGTTTACATATATAATGCGCATATATAAACTATCTAATAACAACAGATCCAAATGTATACATTAAAAAAGTAACTTAAGTGTTAAGAAAAGTGAAGAAATATTCTTAAAAGTATTTCCTTTCTGATATATTGCGACACTTGGCCTCTCCTCTTAAGGTCCATAAGTTTTCGAACAAAATTGCGTTACTCAAATTGCCTTTCTAACACTTTTCTATTTGCGAAATTTCCTGGTGGAATCATTCTCCTTGTTCATAATTATCGGTGTCGAGAGTATCTGCGAAGAAGTCCAAATGATCATTCAAAAATGAAGTTTAAGTGATATTACATTGTTGAAAGACACAATCATGTCTTTCTTACAACATGAGAGCGTAGGCTTCCCCGATCGGAGTCTGTATTTAATTAGCTGCCCGGGTGACGTCGCGAAATGAATCACCCCTGAGGAAGGTCGCAGAATGGCGATCGAAACGTCGGCACCTTTGCCATGGACGCGGCGTCACCCGGTCAGCCAATTAAATACTATTCTTATAACATCACTCAGCAAATTAAATAATGTTCATCAACCTATAAGTTTATAATTTGGGGTTCTACAAATATTCCTTTGTTTTGCTTCACTGATTATTGGGAACGTCACTCGCAAATACCCGAAACCTCGTGATGATTTGTCCGTGGCTTTCACAAAACATTTGATGAGTGTTAACCACAGTTCTCTGTCTAAATAGAATATTAATCCGAGTTGGCCATTTTTTCAATAATAGTGATTTCTTTTGTCTCTGCTGTCACACTTCCATAGAAGCAGCAGTGATTTGTATACCTGAGCTGCATGTCAAGCATAATTGCAAATAACTTGAGATCTCCACATACATCTCATTTGTATTTCTCAAATTTGCGAGGTGTGAGAGGCAGTTTAAAATTCTGATATGTCTCCTTCAGGTAATATGCATGAACGGAACAGAACAAAATTTGTCTCTGTTGAGTAGAAAACATATCTACTCAACGGAACATGCTATAATCTATAAAGAAGCGCCTTTCAGTTGCTTTGAAATCATTGGCAAAGAGTCTTCATAACGAATTCGGTATCATTACAAAAATCTCTATCACTTTCCTGGGAGAAATATTTTGGAAAAACTGCTTGGCTATCACGATTAAAAAAACTTTTTTAAAGGGGGAAAGATTTCATCCTTTTAGACGCAAATCTAAAAGCTCAAACTGTTGCTTTGACAAGTTTAAATCAAGAACAAGATCATTCATATCCCCAAGAGACATGAATTATGGCTTACATCCGATACCGCAGGCTTGAAACGATGGGTCAACATGGATATGTCTCTTGTCTTCTGAATGTTCGTCACTAAACCATTCATGTTCATTCACTTTATCATTCTGAGAAGGTACTCGTAGAGGTGCCGGTAATTCTTCACTATAACATTCAGCAGATGGGAAATTAGGATAGCGCACAGTTTTCTTTGTTTTTGATTCCAGCTAATTTCGTCAGACAGAAATAACA